AAGGGACTCGAACGCTGCCTAGCTGGAACTGCTAAATTTGGCGTCGCTTGGATTACGCCGTGCATCAATCCAGCGGCAAACCTTTTCTTGGTTGATGGGCTTGGAGGAATGTTCATGACTGGAACTGGAAGTGTTCTGTTGTGTGGAAGGCATGAAATGTTCTTGTATTGATGTCTAAGTGAAAATGGTTTAGGTTGTGAATTTCTTGATATATCAAACAGCCCTGAACAATCATCATCTATCCAGTCTGTTCTGGTTGACCTTTTCTCTTTACTCTTAGGCCAGCTCAGGAAGAACTTCAGGCGTTTCACTGTATGATTTACAGAGATTGACTTCTTGTCTGATGAATCCACTGAATCATACTCGCCATTGTTGTTCGAGCGTAAATCAACGTCCTTGTCTACTTGATCACGAGTTACACCAGACACATTTTCAATACCTGTGTACAGGAATATCTCTGCATCTGGAATTCTGAAAGAAGTTCCAGGACTGCTTCCAATGCCCTGCATTTTCAAATGTGAAAAGAAAGCATTTGTTGCCATATAATCACTTGGATTCGAGATGCCTCCAGCCGAAACGAATCGTTTAATAAGAATCTCTAAAGCAGGTGATGGTGACTGTTGTTTGAGGAGTTCAAGTGGGGTCAAGCCATCTTCATCAGTAATGTTCAAGTCTATTGATGGCACAGACATAAGCAGCTCTACCAGGTCACACTGGTTATTCTCTGTCACCGCCACATGAAGCGCGGTTTTTCCATCATTGTTCCTGATGTTGATAATCTCTCGCACATTCATCGACTCGTCGTGTATCAGACGCTCCATGAGCTCAATCTGCCTGTCTAATCTTCTAAAGCCAGGGGTTTTGAAACCAGCCACCCGCCAGATGAAGAAAAGTGTCCCCATAGTAGTTTGACATAGATGTTAGGGAGGGGCATTCATGAATCAGAAACTCCACCACAGCTAAGTGACCCCTGTATGCAGCCACATGCAATGAGGTGTTTCCTTGACTATCAGTGTTTGAGATGATATCAAAGGAAGCTACAAGATTCTTCACTACCTGCAAAACATGTCAGCTAGAAAGGCAATTCAGAAACTTGTTTCTTCGTAACTAGACAATCTAAGTCAGCAGGAGAAGAGATAAAAACTCAAACACAGGAAAGCCAACATTCTATCAGACCGTTCATGTAATAGTTCAAGTACACCGCTAGCTGATATTGTCATTTTTTTACTTTCCTTTTCCTTCAAGGTTTTTAAAACGCATTTGCTAGGAGAAGTTTGCAGACCCTTATAAAGAATACTTAGTTCTTCTCTCCAAACAATGTGGGATCTCTTGGTTGGAAAATGAAAACAGAAAACAGATAACAGAAGTTTTCAGAAAATGTAAGGAACTGACAGGAAAAGAAGCATGAATACAAGTCCAAGATCTGACCTCAATCTGTCCTCTTCCAGCAGCTGTGTGGAGAATGGTGGATCCCTGAGCATCCCTGTAAATGAGAACATCAGGACAGTGCCCAATTAGCTCTCTCATCATCACCAAATTGCCTCCTCTAGCAGCACAGTGAATAGCCCTGTTGATCATTTCCCATCTGAAAGCCAAAGACATTTCCATCTCACATTTATCCAATGCCTCCTCCATTGTCCCATCTTCACTGCTTGGCCAACACCTTAGAGAAAGAGCAAAATCCAGCAAAAGCCTAAAAACCTCACAGTTCTTACTCCTGGCTGCAGCATAAAAAATGTCAGTAATGCCGTACTCTCCTTCTCCAAAAACCAGGAGAGGGTCTTTCTCAAGCAGTTCCATTACAAAATCTAAATCCCCAGCTGAGGCAGCTGTGTACAAAAGCCAGCCGCCATAGCCAGCACGAATGAGAGAACTTCTGCCCCCTTTCAGTTCCCCTTCGAGGAGGAGTTTTTTAGCTACATAAGACCGGCATTTTGCCACATCTTCAAACTGAGCTTGGTCATCCCACACAGTTTCAAGGCGGCGGATTCGGCGGAGAGATGTGAGTTTGATGAGGAGATTGGTGTCTAAATGAAGAAGCTCTCTGACCACATCGTAGAACCCATTGGCCGCCGCCCAGTCAATCGGCGTAGCGTACCACCATTGCTCCCCTGTGCTCTCCCACCGAAGAGGGAAAAACAAGGGAGGCATTTTGCTCAAAACCCACCAAAAAATCTATGAGATAAAAGTAAAATCGAAACAGAAACAGACCCAGAAAGTGAAATTTGCAGAGAATCACAAAAAAAAGGCACAAATATGGAATCCTTACCGAAAGGGAAGTGATGGAGGAAGGCTATATGAATCAGTGAATCAGACTCAAATAAACATCAAGAGGAAGAAGAAGATTATAAGAAAAACAGAGGGAATGGAGCATTTGGAGGAGAAAAGTATGGTGCCAAATCTCGCCGAATGAAGCCAAGAAGCTTAAGAAATGACGGAGACACGAGAATTTCGCAGTGTGTAGAAAGACAGAAACTAACAAAAAAAAGAACAAGAACCAAAATGAGAAGGTGAGGCTTTATTTTGGTGGGAAGTGAAAAGTTGAGAACATGATCACTCACTCGAATGCCTTTCAAGATTACGCTGCCTCGTGACAGTGAGCAGTAAATTAAACACAAAAGAAAGTGAGAAATTGAGAGGTTTAAACTGTTCAACGGGGCTCTGTTGATGAAAGGACAAACAGACAGCTACCAGAAATCATCCATCATTAGAAATTAAAATCAAAATTTTGCTTTGATTTGTTGGGTTTTCTTTTGGGTGTGAATCATTCAGGGATGTTTTGAAATCTGAAGCTTGTTTGTAGTGGTAATGGGATGAACGCTAATTTAGTTTCAGCAGAGACAAATGGAGGAGGGGGTGGGTCAGCCATTTACAAGAATTGGAAATGCAAAAAGAAATGGAAAAAGGACGTCTTGTTGATGAAAAGAAAATGCACACTAAAAATGACTTTTCAAGATAAAAGAGAGACCTGCAATGTTACATTCTTGATCTCGATCTCGATCGAGAGGTCAGATGCAAGGTTTATCTATTCTATCGAGAGTTCAAAGGTTATATATGCGAGACATGTTTATGGTCGATCGAAAGGTGAGAAGTAAAGAAAGTAGAAGGTAAAAGATAAAAGGGGAAGAGCGGAGGATTGAGGTTTATGGTTGTATTGTGTATGATTACTTTGCAAAAGCCGACCACGTTTTGATGATTGATATCCGTAGAGGCAAAAGAGAGCAAAAAAGAGGGGGAAGAAAAAAGGAAACCAAAATGGTATTCAAATGCGACTCCCATCTCTGCAATTATTTGAATCACACACTCCTCTTCATTCCTCCTCCAATAAGACTATCTTATGGATAATTTTAGACTTAAAAAGAAGAAAATGGAATGCCAAGGATAAAATCAAGATATCCTACCACCCAATCCGACCCTAGAGAAGGATGAAATTGGGTCAAAACCCCAAAAGCATCTCTTGATCTCAACTAGGGAGAAATGTTAGCTCAATTCAACCGGAAAATTTGAAATCTAAAGTCAATCTCATATAAATACCTTATTGTAACCTCCGGAAGAATAATTTTTTTTTCTTATTCTCTAAAATCTAGAACTTACTAAACAATTATTCTTTGATCTTTGACTTAACTATTGGAGCATGTGTGCCGAAGAACTTGGAATGTAATATTTTCTTCTCTTTTGCAGGTCAATCCTTTTCAAATTAAAAAAAAAAAAAAATTGATGAAGCATGCAAAAGGTATATAATATTTTCGTCCCACGTTGGCTAATTTAGGGAATGATCATGATCTACAAGTAAAGTCTTACTTTCCTAACCCCACTTTTATCCACTGGGAAAAAAATATCGAAATTAAATCTCTCTCTCTCTTTTATTTATTTTTTATTTTTTATTTATTTTTCCTTTTCATTTACAATGTATTAAAAAAAAAATTCAAATAATGGTGAAATTTACCATCCTTGAAATTGTGATGGTGTGAAAGGCAGCAAAAAGAAGACTAAGCATGAGACGCCAATAAGGAAGGAAATAAGTTGGCCAGCTTAGACGGCGATGGTTATGGTTATTATGGCTGCCCCTAATTTCTAACCCCCCTCCTTCTCCAAACCTCGTCTTTCCCTTTCCCTTTCCCTTTCCTTATAAATTCCCACGTCAAAACGTGCCTTCGCCGCTGCACCTTTCTTCATCCTTCTTCTATTTCTCCTTCCCAAGAACACCCATTTTCTTCTCTCAACTGCCATGGCCACCGCCAACAGATGGTTGAAGCCTGAGGTTGTTCCCTCTCTCCCTCTCTTTTCCCATTCATTTTCCATTACTTCCTGAGAAAAACATGAAGAAATCAACAACTTTACCAATCAAAACTTGATTTCCTTGAATGCATATGCAGGTGTATCCTCTCTTTGCTACGGTTGGTGTGGCCGTTGGCATCTGTGGTATGCAGCTTGTTAGAAACATAACCACCAATCCTGAAGTCAGGTAAATATTTCAAGCTGTACAAAAACATGTTCAATATATTGGAAATGTATTGTATAATACTTTCACCAAGAGAAGGGGGGGCTAAACAGTCCTGATTTGTTCTGAAATGGAACATGACAGGGTTACCAAAGAGAGGAGAGCTGCTGGAGTGCTTGACAACTTTGAAGAAGGTGAGAAGTATGCAGAGCATGGGCTTAGGAAGTTCCTCAGAACAAGGCCCCCTCAGATTATGCCTTCCATCAACAAATTCTTCTCAGATCCAAACTAAATCCAATTCTGATACCAACCTTTGAATTTAGTTCCAAATAATGAAGTGATATTTGAACTGATGGTGTATGATTCTTCTGTTATTTTTATAAGGGAAACCCAAACCGAAAATTCCAAATATCTAACATAATGTTCTGCTAATAAGCTGTTAGTTCCAAAGATATACAGAAATTAAGGAACTGTTGGTTCAGTTGTGAGGCAGTGACAATGGCATCACTTTTTATATTTATGTATCTCACAGAGATCTTCGAAAGCATGCAATAATGACTGTACAAAAGAGACAATACTTCCAACAATCCATATTACATATACAGGGAGAAGATAACCTGTCAAAAATGCATATGCAGAGTCTGCGCACGAAGGCCTATTTCATATGCTGAGTCTGTGCACAAAGGCTATACCTGTTTACATGGTTAGATTTAGAGTATGGAATACAAGTAAAGATGGAGTACTAAAACAAAGCCCCATAACCAAGGGCACTAAAGCCAAAATCTTTATCATGTTGCCATAATTGGGCACTTGCTCAACTTATACCGCGGTATATTGCACCAGGACGAAGATCATCCATAGTATCGATGTTTCTATACCCATCAAACTCCCGAAGACATGTCCAGCCCCGACGAGTTAAAAAATCTCGGTAATCTTCTTCAATGTAAAATATTTTTTCTTCGGTATGTACCGGTAAGTGATCAGATTCATCATAGAGGCAGATTTTCACAGCCAACCCTGAAATTAGAAGTTTAACTGCTCTCACATGCATTACCTTGCCCAAAATGTGCAGCTAGGTGCTATACTTTTTACAAAGAATAGTAAGAGTCAATACTAACACAAAAAGAGATACCTTCATCAAGGTGAAGAGTGTAGTTTCCTAAAGGCATGTCCCTGTCCAGACTTCTGATAACCTGGTCCTCATCCTCTAACCAAAATGCACGTTTAGTTCTCAACCTGAATGCAGATTTGATTGCCTCTTTGATGGCCTCTGAGGTGCCATCAATACCGATTCTTCTTGTGTAGTCCCCCCACTTGACTGATATTACTCTCCCGCCAAATGCCTGACTCTCCCCATCTGCAAGGAGGTAAGTTGACAGAAACCGAAGCTATTAAAGATTCATAAAGCAGCAAGCATCTCAAACAAAGGCAGGATTGGTTTTTATATGAGGCCATTTGACTAACATTCAGAAGTGAATCTTAATGTGAACATATTTGTATAATCGAAATGATGGGTCAAGCCAATAACTAAGGGTATAGGTATAGCCATCAACTACAAAGTTATGCATCGTCATATAAGGGCACCTGTTAGGCTTTTAGCAGGTGAATCATGTGGAATCTAAAAGAACAAAAGTGAGGGAAGCTTTGATATAAAAGTCATTTGACTGAAATGCGAAGCCTAATCTTAAATACCAAGATTGTTAATGCTTAAATGAACGGCCTAAATCCTACAAGAAAGAGTATATCTCATAATCTAGAAAGTAACGTCAACATATAGGCATCTTTTCCAAAACATTCAAAATCGTTGAGTTGTGGTTCCTCAGTGCTACCATTTCCGGGTGCCTCTCTCCAATTCCAAGGTGGAATGCCCGTTGCAGCAACTGCATCAGCTGCTGTGATGGCAAGGGGATGTCCATCATGATCTAGCTGTCTTTCAAGATTGAGTGAAGGCCTGCCACCTGCAGCGTGCAAGGAAACTTAGAAGGAGAGAATTTTTTTTTTCTTCTTTAAGAAGAACGTGGTATAAAAGGTGAATTTCCACTATAAAAGAAATATTCTTAACTACATGAATAAGAAATAATAGAAGAAACTCAAATGGAGATGCAACTTGATTGTTTTCTAATCTTAAAACCATTAATATGGCCACTGGAGCATTAATATAAAGTTTTCAATGGTAAGACATTGGTTTATTCATAACAACTGATTGTTCAAAAAGCAACACTTTCAGTTCTGTATGTTGGGAGTCTCAATTAGACCTCAGGGAATGAAGGGATGATGCAATATGTAAAATAGGCCTGAAAATTAAACAGTGGTGAGATAAAGACTTAATGAAGTTTATTCAATATCCATACAGACTCGTAGGAATTGGATGACTCTATTTTGTAATAGACCCACCAGCTTTGACCGTTTTACAGCTTCTAATATGATTCTTCATGTACAATCAATCCTGTACATTCTCACTAGCACATCAAGAATTCACTATTAATGATATGATTAAAAAAACAGCCTACTACCAAAATTGAGTTTCCACAAGCGATTTCATAGTTATACGTAGGGCTTATAAAAATCTCCCTCCACAATGAAACAGAAAATAAACTAGGTGTGATTTTCTCTGCCATTCTCTATTCGTTCTTCTGGTGTACAAACAGTAAACAACATTGAATGATAAATGCTAGCAACAATCATCAGTCACAATATATATACACACACATACATACATATACATATATACATATACTCAGGTTTCCTACAAAGAGGGGCAAATATTTTGTCAATAGAAAAGTAGCATCGCAACAACAGCAGCAAATAACAAGTATGTCGTACCTTCAACGGGTCCGAACGTTAGACCATTATCCTCTATTCCTGCATTGGAATAAAATTACAATGCTCATCACAGTCCTCTCGTGACCCCAGAGCCAGACTAATCATAACCCTACTGCACCTACTATTTGCACATCATATTCAACAGACTTAAAGAATGCAGGCCCCAAAAATAGCAATTCGAAACTTCTATCTGTTTAAGGAACAAATTCAGGAAACAAAGACGATTCCCCACCCCCCAAGAACAATAAAAACAACAAAATGAGTAACCAGTTAAAATTTTCTAGTCTACCAACTTTAGTTGGATATATGATTTCCAAATCCAGATATCTCTATTCATACGGCTGAACCCTTTTAGGAATGATAGCCTAGTATCATAGTTCATATACCAGAACAATGCATGTTTGAAAGAATAAGTTTGCCAAGAATCATGACGGCTGGCTATGGACATACAATGAATGAACTATGAAGACCTACAAATTGTGGCTAATGGACTCTCCAGAATATTGAATTGTGCATTCAACTCTCTCTCTCTCTCTCTCTCTTTTTTTTTTATATTGGAATAGCATTTTCTTCTTCTTCTTCTTCTTCTTAAAGAGCCGGATATTAGATTACCCCATTCACCCTGTCAAAGCCAAGAACCGAAGGTTACCTTTGTCCGCGAATTGAATATATGAATCAATCTTGGGTGGCGTGGGGCTCTTGTACTGCGTACTTTTGCTTCTCTCCTTCAAAATTTCTTCAATCTCCTTGTAATACGACATCTTAGCAGAGCCACTTCCCCTATCATGGTGCTTTGCCTTCTTGAACTCCTTGAGCAAGTTCCTCCATTTGTCAGTACACATAGTCGGAGAGCGATCAAAGCCCCTTTCCCTCATCTTAGCCGATATCTGCTCCCACAAATGCTTGTTGGATTTCGAGGTATTGAACAAACCATCCATCTCCCGGCGTAGGGAAATTAAGCTTCGAGTCTCATCCTGAACCCAGGTCTCCGCCCGCTTCTTCGGAGCCTTGACTTCATGATCCTCACCACTGCTATCGCCGAGCATCATTTGGTGCTGCTGATGAGTCGGCTGTGGCTGATGAGGTTGAATATGGTGGTCGCCATTGGAGGCGACCTCGATCATCATATCTCTGCTACCTTCTTCCTTGTAAATATCGATTGGGCGAGGCTTATCAGACAAGTACATAGTCTCTGGGTCAGGGGATTCCGTGAAATTTCTAAAAAGATGGAACTTCGTAGGGTGAGCGTGCGGAGAATCTAACGAACGATGAGCCCACACCTTCAAATTTTCATTTCTCTGTCTCTCTTTCTCCTTATTTTCTTTTTCTTTTTGCGACTGCAAGTTCAGAGACTCCGTCCTTTTTTCCGCAGGTCAGTAAGTCCTGAGGGCTGAACCCAATGGGCGCACACACACACACACACAGAGACGAAGGTCGCGTGTGATGCCGGAGAAACAGGGAATAATTGTACGGATAAATTTGGAAAAATTGTGAATCTTTTTTACTCTTTTGGAATTTATGATTAAATTTTACATTTTTATATTTGCTAAATACGAATTTTTTAAATTAGTTATTTTATTAGATGTAAATTTAAATTTTATATTTAATTGATAATGTATTTTATATTTAAAAAATTAAATTTGTAATTTCAAGATTTCGTTAAATAGATATTAATTTCAAAATTTAGAAACTCCAGCAATAAATTAACTTAGTTTTATAGTTTATATATATATATATATATATATATATATATATATAT